AATTCAGCATTGCTATAATGAAACTAATGTGTGTGGAAATGAAACTAAAAAACAGAGCTTATGTATTTTGTCAAATGAAACTGAAGTATAAATAAAATGATACGACGACATCGTTTTACTTTATGATCCACGTTGCTACGTGGACCCTAGTCCACAGTAAACTTTGCCAAGGATTTGAGTGGTGAAGACTAATATAGGAATATAGGAATAAAGTAAAAATTCAAATTATATTACGGAGTATTTGATTGACATGAATAAAATTACTTGAAATTTTAACTCTAGTGTTTGATATACATGTGAATTGAAAAACAATCTATAAACCTAATAAAAGCTAATAAAGTTATGTCCCTAATGGGAATTAAAAAATATTGGTATAATTGTTTGTTGAAATGAATGATTCATATTATCTTGAATTTAGTATTTTTTATTATTTTTTCTATTTTACCCTCTATTATATCATTTACTTTTTTTTTTTAAATGCCACTGCACTTCGTCAGTGTAAACTTTAGTAATTGAATATTCCGTTAACTATTTATTATTCTTAATTTATCATTGATTTTCATAAGGAATGTCTTAGGTACCTCATCCTAATCAAAATTGATATAATTGTTAAACATATACTATGAATATGTTAAGTTGTATTAAAAAATACAATATAAAATTTAACATGAACTTTTGTCAATAATTAGAATCGCGCATTGGGCATTTATGAAACGGTACACCTAATTTACAAATTACAATATATATTCAACACAAATGAGAAATTAAACTATGCCTATTATGATTATATTTTGGGGGAAGGATGATTTGGTTTTGTTTTTGAAGGTGCACTGTGCCAAGGCACTAAAACTGCAGTGAAGCATACTAGGGGACTAGATTAAATCAAAAATTCATTTCTGGTAGAAGTGGCAACCAAAAAAAAAAAATATGGATCAGGCCAATTAGTAGGTTTTGTGTTGCAAAAATTATGCTTGCGAACTATCTAGTGAGAGTATTTCTCTCTAAAACTGTTATTGCACCCGCTAATTTTATGAAAAATTATGCCAAAATTCATAATTATGCATTCTTGAAATATATGCTTTTATGAAAAATTTAATAATTATATACGTCAGGATACCAAATGATACTTTGATAAATTCTAAAACACTAATTTAAAAATACACATTGGGTATTGGACTATTCGCGCAATGCGCATGTGGTAACTAGTAAGTAATATAAAGATCAAAATGTCCATGTATAATAATAACTAGTAGCTAGTAATAGTAATCCCAAAATAGTTGATCAAGTAGGTGGAGCATGATTTTAAATCGAGTCTCAAACACTCTTATATCGAGTCCGTTGCATCTCTGGTCACCTAAAAATAAAAATATACTCTTATAAAATTACATTAAAACATACATTATTTGAAAAATAAATTTACAAGAATAATATGTTTAAGCTATACAACAACAACAATAATAATAATAAGTGTACATTTCGTGAAAGTGTATTTTCGGCTCAAAATCTCAACTTTTCTTTCCAAAATTCGAAATGGAAGTGAGGAAATTGTAATTTCGTAGAGTTCCTATTCCCCCAATCAGACATAGGAATTTCTCATATTTCAAAATTATGGTAAAGAATAATTATAATTTCCTCCAAGTAAACGGTGAGGTAGTGAGATTAATCATGAGATGGTACCGTGATGATATGATAATACTATGTGTATTCTCATTTTCAACTCTTAATTTTATTTTTATACACAAAATCTTGATGTAACATTTATATTGAGTCCCACATGAAAAAAGTAATTTATCTGTATCCACCACATTAGAAAGTAAAATTTATGAAGTAAGATTTAGGAGTATATATAATAGAACTAGGGATGATAATTAATTTTGATCCGTCCCGCGGATATCCACCCGAATGGCCGAATCCACACCCAGGCCACATGGGTCGGATTTTATTTATTTATTTATTTTTAGGTGATAGTGGGTGGTGTGTCTTTAAAAAAATAAACTCATGGTGGGTCCGATTGGATTCGGATTCTATGTAAAATAAAAATAAAAAAATAAAAAAATTGCGTGTGTGTGTGCCATGTGTGTGTGTATAATAGTAAAATAAGTACTACTATTTGACACAAGCTTTATAGTCGAGTGGCATAGCTGTGAGTTTTCAAATGAGAGGTCTCAAGTTTGAACTCTAGTGTGTGGGAAAGTAATCTGATGTAAATATCAATCTAATTACACTTTTGTTTCATTTTACAGTATTACTACGTTTTTCAGTTTCATTTTTCATACACACTAATTTCATTATAGCAATATTAAAGTATCATTTTAATTATACTACAGTTTCATTTGACAATATACATTATTGTATGAACTCTATTTTGTAGTTTCATTTTTCACAAAAACTAATTCAATATAATAATGTTAAAAGTATTATTTAATTACACTCCACGCTCATTTGATAATATATATATATATATATATATATATATATATATATATATATATATATATATATATATATATATATATATATATATATATATTATTGTATGACTCTGAATTTTAGTTTCATTTTTCCCACACACTAGTTTCATTTTAACAACATTAAAGTATCATTTTAATTATACTATAGTTTCATTTGAAAATATATGTTGTTGAATGAACTTTGTTTTTTTAGTTTCATTTTTCACAGCCACTAGTTTCATTTTAGCAACACTAAAATATCATTTTAATTCTACTACAATTTCATTTGACAACTATGATTCACATCGCACTATGAACCATGGTCCAGTGTATAACAATTGTAGGTGATAGATGTAGCCCTCCCCAATCTACCCGGTAAATTTTACTGTGGACCATGGTCCATGTTGTATTGTGGTTCATAAAGTAAGTATTATTCTAATTACACTTTAGTTTCATTTGACAATATTGCTCTGTTTTTCAGTTTAATTTTTCACACCCACTAGTTTCATTATAGCAATACCAAAGTATCATTTTAATTCTATTACAGTTTCATTTGACAACATTATTGTATGAGCTCTATTTTGTTGTTTCATTTTTCACACACACTAGTTTAATTATAATAATGCTAAAGTATTGTTTTAATTACACTTTACGTTCATTTGACAATATATGTTATTGTATGATTCTGAATTTTAGTTTCATTTTCCACACACACTAGTTTCATTTTAATAACATAAAAGTATCATTTTAATTAGGAATAAGGTTCAAATTGGCCACTGAACGAAAAAAAAAAAAAAAAAAAAAAAAAAAAAAAAAAAAAAAAAAAAAAAAAAAAGTGCAATTAGGCTACTGAACACTCCAAAAATGTGCAATTTCACCTGATAGCAGGTTACCCTCAATTTTTTAGCAGGTTATCTGCTTACGTGGCAGCTGAGTTGGCATTTTTAATAAATTTTAAAACATTTTTAATAAATTTTAATAATAAATTTTTATTTTAAAAAAATTTTTAAAAATAAAAACGACTTTATTTTATTTTTTATTTAATTTTTTTTCAATTTGTTATAAAATCTATTATTAAAATTAATTATTAAAAATTATTAAAAATTATTAAAAATGCCAACTCAGCTGCCACGTAAAGCAGGTAACCTGTTAAAATTGATGGTAACCTGCTATCCGGTGAAATTGCATACGTTTGGAGAGTTCAGTGGCCTAATTGTCCGTTTTTGGAGTGTTCAGTGGCCTAATTGCACTTTTTGTTCGTTCAGTGGCCTAATTGCATTTTCAGGTTACGTTCAGTGGCCAATTTGAACCTTATTCCTTTTAATTATATTACAATTTTATTTGACAATACGTGTTGAATAAGCTATATTTTTTAGTTTCATTTTTCATACGCACTAATTTCTTTTGAGCAACACTAAAATATCATTTTAATTCTACTAATACTTTTATTTTACAACCATAATCTATATAGTACTATAGACTATGATCCACTGTATAACAACCCAATCCACCCAGACCTATTGTAATCCCTAATAATAGAACTAAAATCATAAAATGTAATTATAGTTGTCGCATGATTTGATGTCTTTACTTCACAGAGAATCCAATGCAGGTAGTCATTTCCAGTGGGGATGATATAATGAGAGAGTGTGGCCCAGATTGTCAGGTTTAGGTTTGGCAAAAAAGAAAAAGATGAGTGTTATATATATAGCTAAAAAGATTAGGCGACAAATGAAAGCGAGGTTGGTAAAATCAACGAAAAAGTGCCTTCTTCGTGCCGAAAGCTACTAATCAACGTTAAATCTCCAAAATTATATGTTTATTGCCCCAATTCGTCTCACAATTATCAAAGAACGAGTAAATTTTATTTATATGTCACAATTTTATTAAATGGTAGAAAAAATAGAAAAATACAATTACTAATTACTAATGTATTTTAATTGTATAAAATATAATTATATAATTCAATTATCAATACAGTCAGCCGTATTTACTTAATTTTAAATTACTTTATCAACTATTTTCTTGAATTTTGGATAGAATTTTGAGTGGATTTTTATGGGGATCCGCATTGGTTCCCTACTTGATTGATTATTGTGTCATTTTATATATTAAAAAGAAAAAGAAAAGGATTAGGTTTGATGGTTCCAGGTTCTATAGTTGTATGACTTTTATCCATGATTTGGTAAGTTAGTTTTAAGAAAAATGGTAATTTATACTTCTTTATAATATATTCAATTATTAATGTTACTTCTGAATTATTAATATTTTAAATGTTGTCTCTTAATATTCAAAATAGTATATATTTTACCATCTCGTATCGTACAGAAAAAATTGAGGGGTAATATTAACATTACGGGAGGGGCACTACCATTTTGAAAATTGAGAAGAAACGTTTACATTACTAATAATTCAATAGTGACAATAATAATTGACAAATTATGAAGAGACATAAATTAAAATTTTTCCGTAATTTTACATTTTACTTTATTTGGAGGGAAATTAATCACTGATTAATGATTAAAAAAGTTTACAACATGAAAAAAAAAATTAAAAAGAAAAAAAAAAAGTAACGGTGAGACCAACCTGATTAAATAGCATATGGCATGTACAATGGTTGCAAAAGGCTTCTCGAGAGAGAAGCTGTTAGCAGTGTGAACCAAAAAAAAACACAAAAAGAATGTAAAAAATAATAATAATTTCCCCATAATTCGTCGTGAAAAACGTCGCTAGGAAGCAGTCGGATCGGATATCAACGGCGGCGGGCTTCTACTACTTTTCTTGCTCGAGGTTTTTGCAAGAGCCGGCGCCGGCGCCGGCGAACCTGAGGAAGACGATGAGGACGACGGCGTGGGTCTATTGGAGCCGTTTCTGAGTTTCTTGTTCTCCCCAGCTTCACTGGGCTTCTCCTCAATCCTATGGTGACGAACTTTCGTCGTGTTTAAGCTCACCGGAACTAAACATTTGCAGAACATACCTATTTGCGTCACAGTTGGTCAATTATCGTCACAAAATTCCATTTGCGGAAAAACATTAATCGCACTCTTCATAGCTCCTTTATTAATTAATTTAGATAAAGATCTAATTAATGCTATTTAATCAAAATTAATTTGATTTTTTGGCGACGAAATGCGTAGAGAAATTAAAGAATCGTCGCAAAAGATGAGGGGTTAGAGATTAGTTTACCGATTCGAGCGAGTCGGTTAACCCATCTGGGAATAGGATTTCCGGTGAGTCGAATGCAGGCATCGTTGCAGAAATGGTTACAGTTTTTGGTGATGAGATTATAAGCATTTCCTCTGTACTTCTTGGAGAGCTCCTCCATCAATCTTCTCACTTCGCCGGCGGCCATCTCCGACCACCCGACCAAAATCGACTTCCGGAATGTGAACCCCTCGCACTGCTTCGGCTCGCCTTCGAAAATCCCCGTCGTGGGGTATTCGTGAGCTCCGAACGCGTACTCCACGCCATGAACTGCTAACCCAGATTAACAAATCACAGATCTGATGATTGGGCGCATTAGATATGCGAAAAAGCAGAAAAAAAATGAAGAATTCAGAAGAAAAAATGGGGACGGAGAAAACCTTGAACGCCGGAGTGGTAGACGCCGAGGCCGACCCAATAAGCGTAGCCGTTAATGGAGGTGAGATCGTAGACGTTGAGGTAAACCGGCACTGATCCGCGGCCGCAGTTGACAGAATTCTTTCTGCAGAGCATTCTGCGGGGGCTGAGTTGGGGAGGCACGGCGGGGCGGAGCGCGGCGGCGTTGGAGTGCCGCACAGTCAACTTTGGGCGGACCAAAAGTGGGATGGATATATAATAAGAGAGATGATGAGAGATTGGAATCTGGAACTGGATGGTGAGCTGTGTAATTGCTATTTGAAAATTTGAAAAAAGTGTTTTTTGGGAGAAAGAAGTGTAACAGTCATAATGATATCAAGTGATGCCACTCAAAAACTAATCACATTTATTATACTCGGTATTATGGAATGATGATCTGTGATTCCTCCAATTTCCTTTTTCTTTTCCTATTTTATTTGTATTTTTTACTTTTAGACTCTATTAAATATAAAATTGTAGACACTAGCGTACCAACATTCAAGAGTATGTATGTGAAGAATAATGACTAGGAATCCAGTCTCAAAGTGAGGGGCTCCTTGTGTACAGTAAGTCTCTATGGTTTATTTGAGTTACCATGATTTACATTCTCGTAGATGCTCTATCGGGTCAAGGTTGGAGATTCAACCTTTTAGGAAGAAGAGTCTGTATGTTTGTTAAAACATATTTCGTGATTCACCTAATTTACCAATCGAGGCAATAATTGGGGACAATCACAATCGAGTTGGTCAAGCAGTTGGTTTGATACCCACAATGTTCTAAGTTTGACTCCCCATAAGAGTTGTAAGTCGCCTATTAGCTTTTCTGATTTGAGCTGGTCAAATATGGACAACCTAAACTAATTTATTTACTTCTTCGTAGTCTTTTGCCGGCTGAGGCGATGAGAACTGTAATGAATTGTAGGTATATATACAAGAGGAGGCTTAGGGAGACTAGGATTGTGAATCATAAGTAGACTCGATAGAGTCCTAATAAAGGCGAGCTTTACCCTTAGTGCACCTTCGAATACCAACAACAAACTTTTCCTTAAATCAAAGGATAGGAGCGATTATGAACCTTTAAGTTTGTGATTCAAATTTATTAATGGGAAAATTGTAAAAAATGCCTCTCTATAATATGCCAATTATCAATGTCACCCCTGAATTATGAGTGGTGTAAATGTTGCCCCTCAATTATCAAAACGGTACACATATAGCCCCTCCCGTAACGGACATGTGGTTCCCCGTTAGTGTACGACACCGTTAAGTTGGAGTAAATATGTAATTTAGTTGTTTTTTCCGTCCCTCAATTCGAAGTACCAGCGATGGACATCGGTGGGGAACCATAGGTCTGTTACTGGAGGGGCTATTTGTGCACCATTTTGATAATTGATGGGCAACATTTATAGCACTCATAATTCAGGGGTGACATTGATAATTGGTATATTATAGAGGGGCATTTTTTTACAATTTTTCCTTTATTAAATATGAAAAATTCTTAAAATTTACCATTAACGAGTTTATAAATAATCAAAAAATATGTTTTTCTTTTTCTTTCTCATAACTATTATTCTTGAGCTTCTATTCTTTTTTTTTTTTTTTTTTGAAACCTGTAAATTCGAATATTATTAATGAATATGCGAAATAATGAAATCAGGAGGGTCACCATCCCATAACATAGTAATACCCTGGTCAGTGACCCTAGATGCTAAAGTATGAGCAAAGATATTTAAACGTCTAGGAATAAGCTGTAAATAACATGTAGTAAACTGAGCCATGATGGCCTGCACTCAAATAATACTAACATACGATCTAGGATGTAAATCAACTTTGGAAACATAGGACTTCAACACCGAACAATCTGTGGATAGAGTTACTGAAGTAATCTGGCGGTCCCTTAACCATGATAAAGCCTCCTTACAAGCCAGTGCTTCTGCTGTGATAGCGTTCTCACATAACGGCAACCGTCCATTCATAGCCGCTACAAAGCCACCTTGGTCGTTGAGGAGAACTGCGCCAAACGCCAAACGCCGCAGCCCATGCTGTGATAGCGTTTTTTTTTTTAACTAAATGACGCGTTTTTTTTAAAAAACGATGTCGTTTTGGGCCCGTGTCCACAATTCATTGTGGACACGGGTCCAGGGCATAATTTGCCCAATTGAATTGGTGACAAAATATAGGCTATTGATTCTGTTTTTTGACTTGGCATCCTACAAGCTCGCAAATTATGCCGTGGAATCGTGTTCACCGAGAATGGTGAACACAAGTCAAAACGACGTCGTTTTTAGGCAAAAAAAAAAAAAATCGCGGATGTGGAGTTAACGGCGTGTTACTGATCAAATTATGAATTTTATGAAAATTCATAATCTCATAACAGAAAATTCATAATCGCATAACAGAAAATTCATAATCTCACAACTGAAAATTCATAATCTCATAACAGAAAATTCATAATCTTATAACAGAAAATTCATAATCTCATGGTTCCAAAGTGAATGTGTAGGCATGGTTCCAAAGTGAATATGCAGGCATGGATTCATAATTTATGAATGTCCGTGATTTCGGACGGGAATATGTAGGCATGGTTCCAAAGTGAATGTGCATGCATGAATTCATAATTTATGAATGTCCGAAACTCCGAAATTATGAATGTAATGAAAATTCATAATCTCATAACAGAAAATTCATAATCGCATAACAGAAAATTCATAATCTCATAACTGAAAATTCATAATCTCATAACAGAAAATTCATAATCTCATAACAGAAAATTCATAATCTCATGGTTCCAAAGTGAATGTGTAGGCATGGTTCCAAAGTGAATGTGTAGGCAGTCACGTAATTTAAAAAAAGAAAAAAAAAAAGAAAAAAAAAAAAAAAAGATAACGGTGCACTAATACCGTTAGAACCGTGTTCACCATGAATGGTGAACACGGTTCCATGGCATAACGTCTGCTACAAGCTCAAGTCACCATTTTTTTGACAGAATATTTTATACAGTTTCTTTTTATTTTCTAAATTTAAAAGTAAATTATCAAGATGGTTTATCCACATATAGTGATTTTATTTTATTTTTATCAATATATAGTGATTTTATTATTTTAGTTCTCGACTTTCAATTTTATTCAATAATATATCTCTTATTGTCAAATTTGTACAATTTTTAAGTTGTTCAGAAACTAAAATAGATAAAAATTTGGACAAAACAATAAATCCGAAAAATTAAAATATGTATAAATTTCATAGTGAAAAATATTATTGGATAAAATCAAAAGTCCATTAATAAAGTGGTAATCCCACTTTTGGGGTGTAAGTGAGTCAAACTACTCGCGAGCTACTCGAGTTTGATGCAATGAATGTTCAAATTTGATTAAGTTATTGTTAAGCTGAGTTCAAGGTTGAGACGTTGAGTAGCTCGAATAATGAATTTGAGCTTCTTAATACTCGGCTTGAGTAGCTTGTAATCCTTTTTTTGAATGCTACTAGCTCTGTTAGATTGTAGTATCTGTTCATATACTTTCTCAACCTACTGAAACACAAAGAGCCAATAACGCCTCCACTGAGGCTCGAACTCACAACCTTCCAAATGGAAGTCCAACCCGGATACCATTAGACCACATAATCCTGGTAGTAGCTTGTAAGCCTAATTGAGTTAATTTTTAAAAACTATATTTTATATATAATATATATTACTATAAATTTAATTAAATATATTTTTATAATATTTTTTTTTTGAAAATCATATATTTTTATAATATAAAATGACAAACTGATATTATATTGAGTTTCGTTATGATATTTTATTGTAAAAACATTTATTATTATAATCTTTTGTATTAAAAATATATAAAATCTGAGCTAAGGTCGAACAACTTGAGCTTTAAAAAAAATTATCTTTTAATTTAGCTCGAGCTACAATTTTTCGAATCGAATTGAGTTTCGAACTTTGACTACTCAAACTTGACTTGGATTGATTACACCCCTAACCACTCTAGAGTTAATGAATCATTTTCGATAATATTTCACTTTAAATTTTATGTGATGCGATATTATATTCTTGCACATAATAACTCTACGATGAAATTCTGAACTATTTACAAGCACATATATTATTTTTTTTTGTCAGACCACGAGGTATCTTGAGCAGACCCTAACGATAGGAGACACCTTTAAGCCCATACCATACTCAGACTAATCCACATTCGCATCGAGCTGGCCCAATTAAGGAGCAAAGTGTTGGCCAAATTGGTTTTTCCATAAGAGAGGGGGTTTGAACTGACAATTTATATCATGGACCAGGGTCCACATAGCTAGATCAAAACAACGTCGTTTGATGTTTAAGTTTTAACAAGTTCCTTAACTTCCCGTTTCTCATGTTTCAACTCAAAATTTTAATTTATTCTATATATGTATAGAATCCTTAAACTTAATGTACATAATTGCATAAGATGATGTACAGAAATGCATAACACGATATACATACACATGTTTTCTATTTTACTTATTCTCATATCTCATTTATGTCATATAGGCACATAATTGCATAATACAAGACATAAATTTGTAAAATAAGACACACAATATGCTTTGTATTATACAACTACTAATCAATTTCATGTACAGAATCCTTACGTTTAATGTATAGAATTGCATAACATGATGTACAGAAACGCATAACATGATGTACATACACATGTTTTCTATTTTACTACGAGATACATACACATGTTTTCTATTTTATTTATTCTCAGATCTGATTTATATAAATAATTTATATCCTATAGGAACATAATTGCATAATACAAGACATAAGTTCGTAAAATAATACAATATGTTTTGTGTTATACAACTACTAATCAATTTCAAGTACAGAATCTTTACGTTTAAGGTACAAATTTTCATAACATAATGTACATAAACACATAACACGATGCACAAAAACATGTTTTACAGTTAAAAAAAAAAAAAAAAAAAAACTCGGTAACGCAAACTGAAGAACAAACGGTCTCCGTTAAAATTAAAGTCCAAAACGACGTGGTATAGGATCAGAGTTCACAGTGGACTGTGGACCCTAGTCCACAGTATAACGATTGGTTCAAACTCCCAACCCCTCTTTAAGGGATGAGATTTATACAAGCATATATTGCCAAATCTTTTTTTCATTTAAATTTACAGTAATTACCTAATTACCATTTTTACCATTCAAAGGTAAAAGTTATGGATTGACAATACAACACTTTGAAGCTTCAATAATCTCACAACTCAGAAGCCTTTAATCTTTTGGCTAAAGCATCTTTGTGTAGGTGACAACAATAAACAACCAAAATGAAGTGTTTTGTG